TTTTTTTTTTTTTTTTTAGTTTACATTCGTAGTTTATCGCTTCTACATCACAGACTTCTATTCTATCATAGAATCCTTCACTTTTTTAACCTAATCATCTACAAATAAATAATTTCAATTTCAATAAAAGAAAATAAGTTTTAATTCACATCAAAATACTCACACTTTATCAAAATCATAATCCTACAGGAAGCCTTTTAATTTTTCGTATGTTTTTTTTTTAAATATTAGACATTTTCATCTAATCAAATTCAATGATTAAAAACTCGATCATTGAATGAATTTTACTTCAATTCGTAGGAGAATACGCCTCGAATCCCAAATTTTATTGTTTCACTTGCATTATAATTTTCATCTATTCTATAAGACAAACTCGATCCTCCTTTAAAGCGATCAATCGTTCAAGAAAGATAAGACGTACATACACACACACATACATATACATAATATACACATAACTCGGCTATTCTCCAAAGCTTCCCTTTGGCCTCGATCGTTGCTCGAGCAACATAAGTCCCGTACCGTGATCAAAGTTACGTCGGTTGCAACCTTCGAACACGGAATAATCAGAAACCGAAGAGATGGGGAGCGGAAGGGGAGGGGGAGAGGAAGAGGTGGGGAAGAGGGAGAGCTTAGGTCTCAAAGCAACGCGACTCATATCCAATTACGAGGCGAAAATCCGAGGCATTCCTGACATTGGAGGGCCTCGATATATCGGTTATTCGGTTTGGCCTCGATGCAATTTCGCGGTTCGACTCGATCTTGAGGAATGGCACAATCTACGCGTTTCGCTTCGATCAACTGACCCGGCCTCTAACGATGTCTCGCATGTCGTTTCGATGTCCCCCGCGACACGACGCGTAGCGATGGAAGTAAACGTGTCGCGAGTTTGAGTAAGTCAACGCTTGATCGTCGAGTGAAGTATTGCGTATTTAAAGTTAAAACTTATTTAATTTAAAAAAAAAAGATTTTGTACAATCAAAAATTTATATATACTGTTTTATTCTTATCTCGATTTCTTTTTTTTTTTCTATTTGTGCTCGTAAAAATTTGCATCAATCTAAACAATAATAGTCAATAAATAAAGAAACAATAGTTTTAAACAGATTCGAATTTGAAATACGTAACAGAGTTGAAATTTTACCAATAGTTTCGTAGAAAGATTACGTCAGTTAGATCAAGTTTGAAACTACTTATTGAACATTCTCAATATTCACGTCTCTGAAAGTAAAAAAAAAAAAAGAAAAAAATTGCAAAAATAATTTTTTAAATACAAGAATTACTATTATAATCTCAATTGTAAATTAATATATATTGCACAAAATGCATATAATTTACATCATCCACCAATTTCTGCTTCTAAAAAAAATTAGAACGATGTAACAATTTAGATAAATAATCCATTATTAAAAATCAATCCTGTCGAATGGATGTACATATTTCATCGAATATATGTTCTCATAAACATAAAAGATATCAAACCGAATTATTCTTAATTTTCTGAAACAAAAAAAAAAAAAAATAAAAATCTTTTTCGTTGCATTTTCGATTTATAAGATTTATAATCCACCATTAAAAATCAATCTTATCGAATGAATATATGTTCGCATAAACATAAAAGATATCAAACCGGATTATTCTTAATTTTCTGAAACAAAAAAAAACAAAAATAAAAATCTTTTTCGTTGCATTTTCGATTTATAAGATTTATAATCCACCATTAAAAATCAATCTTATCGAATGAATATATGTTCGCATAAACATAAAAGATATCAAACCGGATTATTCTTAATTTTCTGAAACAAAAAAAAACAAAAATAAAAATCTTTTTCGTTGCATTTTCGATTTATAAGATTTATAATCCACCATTAAAAATCAATCTTATCGAATGAATATATGTTCGCATAAACATAAAAGATATCAAACCGGATTATTCTTAATTTTCTGAAACAAAAAAAAAAAAAAATAAAAATCTTTTTCGTTGCATTTTCGATTTATAAGATACTCATTTAGAATCCTGGAATACGAGCGTGACGAGTTCGTTGATACGATCAGAGCCGCGAATCAGATCTGGATTATTAGCCAGAAGGGGGGGAGGGGGGTCCGTTACATTCGTTGTTGTATCGACGAATCGGTCGAAAATTGGTCGCTGGGATTTACGATGTCTCTGCTCGATACGATTGTTACGCGTTCCATCGTGATTTGTATTTGGAGTGATGTTGAAATCGCGTTTCGGATTAGATCTTTGGATGGCATCTGAACGAGCAGTACATCTCCTGATTCGTTGATTTTTTTTCAAGTTTTTTTAAGTTTTAAGATCCTGAATAGAAAATCCGTATTTTCCGATTATGGTCTTTTGGAATACTCCTGAATACTGTAAAAAATGATCGGTTAATTTCGTGAATTATATTGGGAATGAGTGATTTGAAGTGTTGCAGATAATTCTATTAATCGAAAAATATATTTCGAATTATTTGAATGGATAATTCGTATTTTCCGATTGTGATCTTCTAGATTTGAATTTTGAATAAAATCGTATTCTCTGACTGTGGTGTTTTAAGTTTGGATATTGTAAAAAATGATATATATTATATTTAATACTGTAAAATTTATTTATTATTTGTAATATTTGTGATTATATGTAATACTGTAAAAAAATCGGATTATCCGAACCGTGCTTTATCAAAAATCATTTGTGAATAAAAGAATCCAAATATCGATATATTATTTTCCAAATATTTTAAACGTTTCAATAACATCTATTTCCAAATCGAATTTATAATATAAGACAAAACTCCAATCTTTATGTTACATTGTTAATTAAATAATTTATGTTTGATGCAAGAGTATCGAGATGATGATCGATCTCCAGATTTTGGAAATCTTATTAATAACGTAAATTCATTGTTACACCCAATCGAATAATATACAAAATAAAATCAAACTTAATTTTTATATTAATAAATCCCAATGAATCAATGGATTTCTATTCATTCAATTCGTCAAAACTGATTAAACATTTCAAACACAAACAAACAATGATCTCACAAATTCTTCTCACTTCAGACAGAGACGCTCGAATTCTCGCTATTCGCTTTCACGACGCGATAAAAAAAAAAAAAGAAAAAATAAACAAATAAACGGATTCTTTATTTTCCATTTGCCCGATTCTTCCCAGAATCGTGAATAAGAAAACAGGGATAAAACAATCTCCATTACAATAGCGTCGTCGCGTGCTAAAACGATCGATAAGATATTTCATCTTACCAAGCGGATTATTAATAGCGTGTTAACAAAGCCGCAAACCAGCAGTGCGTTAACGCGAGCCAATGGAATAATGAGTCTAGACGGCTCGAAGAAATCGATTACGAACAATACACCCGTTTCGCCAACGTTGCCGCGGCATTTCTTTTTCTCTCTTTCTCTCTCTTTCTCTCTCTCTTCTTCCTTCCCTCTGGGAATCGATTCGAAAAGGTATTCAACCGTGAACCGTGGCTGCTCGTTTCAAATGAAAATCGCGGTCATTGATGATGATACGGTGGACGAAGAGAAGGTAAACGATGGAACGCGGCGAGAATGGATTCTACAAGTTCACCAGTATATCGTGTATCGTGTATGGAGAAATAAATTCTCTGTTCGAGAAAATTGAAATTAGAAGAATTTTGGACGAGAAATATTGTGTATACGACATATTATGGATTCGAATTGGATTCCATGTTTTCAACACGGTGATAGGAGAGAAAAAGGATGGACGAATTTATAAATCTAATAAATCTAAAATTTGAATACTACTAGTAGGGAAAATAATTAATTTATCCGTTGTATCGAAAGAAAAAGAAAAGAAAAAAATTGTAAGACGGTGTACATGCGTTCCTTCGACATCGTGTTTTAAACTCGTTAAAATTGATATTAAAACGGTGTCTTTCTAATAAGTTCGCCAAACAGACGAGGAAAGAACAATGGGAATAGAGGGAAGAAGAGAAAAAGGGAATAAAGAAAGTTGAATAAGTTGGTCGCAAAGATGAAAATTTTCTCTCCAGCTTTTTCATGTTAATCCGAAAGGGAAACTTTATCTTTGCTCGGCCATTGTTTCTCTTGCATTAAATAAAAGGTAATTCTAATACGAGGTATAATGGTGGAAAGAATTCATCCGCCGCTTAAAATTTACAGAGTTGTAGGGAAAAGCAAAAGGATGCAAATGAAATTTAACTTGTCCGGGACAATTTTGAGAATTGTCGGGAAGAAAGGCGCCTTTCTATCCGATTGCCTCGTGAAAAATTAAAAAACGCTCGGGTTTCCTCACCCGCCTCGTCTACCGAACACCGACAACCCGGCCTTCAAAATAACAAACGGGCTAAAAGCAGACAGTGGAAAAACGGAAAGATACGAATGATAAATTACTTGAACGTTTTAGAAATACGCGGGACAGATGATGTCTCCCGATAACCGATGTCTTAAACTCTCTCGTAATTATATTTTAATCCTTTACAAGTTATTTTTCAATAAAAAGTGTAAATTGTCTCGATTTAAAAGATTAAACATCAAAATTTGTTTTTTTCGAGCAACAGAAAAATATATTTATGCACGTCAAATATGAGAAATTAATTAAGTAATATAAATTTTTGAATTATTGTTTTTCCTTATGGATACACGTTGAGGTTATGTAGCTATCTCAGATTGTGAAGTCTGGTCGGGATTTTGTGATATTAGAATAACTTTGGCTTTTTTTTTTCATGTAACAAACATTTCAGATCCAACTCATAATTCGAATATAATAATTCGAATAATATATGCGTACAAAATTAACTTAGTATAATTTTTTTAATATTTAATATTTAGAAAATTAATTATTGTATGTATAACTTTACAACTTTTCTCGAATTCTAATTCGAAGCTAAGATCAATTATCCTTTTTTCTATCTCAACACGATGCTCAACGAAACCAAGCCCAATTTCTAATAAACTCGTCGCCCTAAATGTGAAAAGCGATAAAGTGGTCGTCGCCATATGGAACGGATTATCCGTTCCGCTCGGTCGGTAATCGCATAAAATCGAAGAAACGATGATTGCGCGAACCCGAAGTTTTCCAGAGCGATTTAAAGAGCCTTCATCCGTCGACGCGGGAAAATTGCATTTGTTCGAAGGAAGTGGTGGTTACCGACCGAGTTGCAACGCGTGTGCACCATATAGTCATGCATTATCGCGTTATGTTTCGCTTTAAACGGCTATATCGTAACGTTTACAACCGAAGATTTACGGCCGGAAAGAAATGTGACGTTGGCTTAAATGGAAAAAAAGCTGCGTGGATTTAATCCATCCCCGATGATTCTCCTTCTTCGTGCATTCGTTTCTTTCCTCGTAACACCTTTTGTTGTTAAAGGGTGCTCTTAATGCGTTAAAAATGACTCGCGTGCCGTTGACGTGGACAAATTAAGGTTTGGACGCGTTAGGAGATTCTTTAAAGCACAGACCGTTTCGTTTGAAATTACTGGCTTGATTTCTAATCGTTATTGTTGTGCTATTTTTTGTTATTAAATTTTTTATAAATTCTTTGTATTTTAATGAATAAAAATATCTATAAAAATAATCTTTCTATTAATTACGTAATTAAATAAATAAAGTGCAAAAATTTATACGTCGCTCGTCATAAAATTAGAATAATCGATGCAAGAGAGATTCGAGGCGATAAAAAATTGGAGTTTGTTTATTGGTTTCTTTGAAAGGATTTTTTCTAGGTCGGGCTTCTTTCCGTGTCAGGTGTTTGGACGTTGGAACGGCAATCAAGGGTGATTTGCGAGGTAGCCTGGTCGTTGATTTTTTTAATTGATCACCGGTGTCAGGTGGTGGTTCGCGTGGGTGTAGTGCATTGATGAAATTGTGTGATGTATGCGTGTAATTTGTCATCCCGCTCGGTAATATATGGTATGCTTTCAATGATAAATTAGAGGTATTAACGGTCGGTGGAGGAGGAAAGTCGTTGAAGATTACTCAAAAGAATGGAATAATAGTTGAAATTAATATTTTGTAAATTTCGATAATTGATGTTCTTAGCGGAATTGATGGGGACAAGAGATTGATTGTACTCTCGAAGTAATTGTAAATTTATTTCTATATTCATTTTTAAAGACCAAACGAAATAAAATGTCATC